TGTGTTTGTGTGTATCTGTGTGTGTGTCTCTCTCTGCATGTGTGTGTGTCTCTCTCTGTATGTGTGTGTCTCTCTCTCTGTATGTGTGTGTGTTTGTGTGTATCTGTGTGTGTGTCTCTCTCTGTATGTGTGTGTCTCTCTCTCTGTATGTGTGTGTGTTTGTGTGTATCTGTGTGTGTGTCTCTCTCTGTATGTGTGTGTGTCTCTCTCTGTATGTGTGTACCTCTGTGTGTGTCTCTCTCTCTGTATGTGTGTGTGTTTGTGTGTATCTGTGTGTGTCTCTCTCTCTCTCTGTGTGTGTGTCTCTCTCTGTATGTGTGTACCTCTGCCACAGCCTAGCCCTCCTGAGTTCCCGATACGATCCATTCTTGCTCCAAAGCAGCTGGAGGAGCGGCGCGCGCTCAGGAGGAGGTCCAGCAGCAGCTTCCGGTCTCGGGCCTCATCAAGCTCCACCCCCTTGGCCCCGCCCCCAGCCCGTGGACTCTCTGGGGCCGGGTAGTCCTGGTCCTGGTCCCGGCTCTGTTCCTGGTCCTGGTCCTGGTCTGGTGCAGCAGAAAGACTGGACTCTAGATGCTGCAGTACAGACTATGGAATACACACACTGTTAGAGACCAGAGGGAGACCAGAGGGAGACCAGAGGGAGACCGGAGGGAGACCGGAGGGAGACCGGAGGGAGACCGGAGGGAGACCAGAGAGAGACCGGAGGGAGACCGGAGGGAGACCGGAGGGAGACCGGAGGGAGACCGGAGGGAGACCAGAGGGAGACCGGAGGGAGACCGGAGGGAGACCGGAGGGAGACCAGAGAGAGACCGGAGGGAGACCGGAGGGAGACCGGAGGGAGACCGGAGGGAGACCAGAGAGAGACCAGAGAGAGACCCGAGAGAGACCAGAGAGAGACCAGAGAGAGACCAGAGGGAGACCAGAGAGAGACCAGAGAGAGACCAGAGAGAGACCAGAGGGAGACCGGAGGGAGACCGGAGGGAGACCGGAGGGAGACCGGAGAGAGACCGGAGGGAGACCGGAGGGAGACCGGAGGGAGACCAGAGAGAGACCGGAGGGAGACCGGAGGGAGACCAGAGAGACCGGACCAGAGAGAGACCAGAGAGAGACCCGAGAGAGACCAGAGAGAGACCAGAGAGAGACCAGAGGGAGACCAGAGAGAGACCAGAGAGAGACCAGAGAGAGACCAGAGAGAGACCAGAGAGAGACCAGAGGGAGACCAGAGAGAGACCAGAGAGAGACCAGAGAGAGACCAGAGAGAGACCAGAGAGAGACCAGAGAGAGACCAGAGAGAGACCAGAGAGAGACCAGAGAGAGACCAGAGGGAGACCAGAGAGAGACCAGAGAGAGACCGGAGGGAGACCTGAGGGAGACCAGAGGGAGACCAGAGAGAGACCAGAGGGAGACCAGAGAGAGACCAGAGAGAGACCAGAGAGAGACCAGAGGGAGACCAGAGAGAGACCAGAGAGAGACCGGAGGGAGACCTGAGGGAGACCAGAGGGAGACCTGAGGGAGACCGGAGAGAGACCAGAGGGAGACCGGAGGGAGACCAGAGGGAGACCAGAGGGAGACCTGAGGGAGACCGGAGAGAGACCAGAGGGAGACCGGAGGGAGACCGGAGAAAGACCAGAGAGAGACCGGAGGGAGACCTGAGGGAGACCAGAGAGAGACCAGAGGGAGACCGGAGGGAGACCTAAGGGAGACCTGAGGGAGACCAGAGAGAGACCAGAGAGAGACCAGAGAGAGACCAGAGGGAGACAAGAGAGAGACTAGAGAGAGACTAGAGAGAGACAAGAGGGAGACCAGAGAGAGACCAGAGGAAGACCGGAGGGAGACCGGAGAGAGATCAGAGGAAGACCGGAGGGAGACCAGAGAGAGACCAGATAGAGACTAGAGAGGGACCAGAGAGAGACCAGAGAGAGACTAGAGAGGGACCAGAGAGAGACCAGAGAGAGACCAGAGAGAGACCAGAGAGAGACCAGAGAGAGACCAGAGGGAGACCTGAGGGAGACCAGAGAGAGACCAGAGAGAGACCAGAGAGAGACCAGAGGGAGACCAGAGGGAGACTAGAGAGAGACCAGAGAGAGACCAGAGGGAGATCAGAGAGAGACTAGAGAGAGACTAGAGAGAGACAAGAGGGAGACCAGAGAGAGACCAGAGGAAGACCGGAGGGAGACCGGAGAGAGACCAGAGGAAGACCGGAGGGAGACCAGAGAGAGACCAGAGAGAGACCAGGGAGACCAGAGAGAGACCAGAGAGAGACTAGAGAGAGATCAGAGAGAGACCAGAGAGAGACCAGGGGGAGACTAGAGAGAGACCAGAGAGAGACCAGAGAGAGAGACCAGAGAGAGAGACCAGAGAGAGACCAGAGAGAGACCAGAGAGAGACCAGAGGGAGACCAGAGAGAGAGACCAGAGAGAGACTAGAGAGAGACTAGAGAGAGACAAGAGGGAGACCAGAGAGAGACCAGAGGAAGACCGGAGGGAGACCGGAGAGAGACCAGAGGAAGACCGGAGGGAGACCAGAGAGAGACCAGAGAGAGACCAGGGAGACCAGAGAGAGACCAGAGAGAGACTAGAGAGAGATCAGAGAGAGACCAGAGAGAGACCAGGGGGAGACTAGAGAGAGACCAGAGAGAGACCAGAGAGAGAGACCAGAGAGAGAGACCAGAGAGAGACCAGAGAGAGACCAGAGAGAGACCAGAGGGAGACCAGAGAGAGAGACCAGAGAGAGACCAGAGAGAGAGACCAGAGAGAGACCAGAGAAAGACCAGAGAGAGACCAGACAGAGAGACCAGAGAGAGATCAGAGAGAGACCAGAGAGAGACCAGAGAGAGACCAGAGAGAGACCAGAGAGAGAGCAGAGAGAGACCAGAGGGAGACCACAGAGTATATAAAAAGTCAGTTTCTTCAGATGTGTCTAAAATATGAAGAATGTTCATATAAGGAAATGTTACGGACGTTTCAGTCCCGGTTCAGACCGTTGACTGCGGGATCTGCAGTCTCTCTAATCAAAGTCCTGGTCTTGGCCCTGGGTCTGGTCTTGGTCCTTTTCTCGTCCCTGGTCCTGGCTCTAGGTTTTTGGTCCTGGTCCTTTTCCTGGTCTCTTTCCTGGTCCTGGTCCTGGTCTACAGGACTACTCACTCGGAGTTGGTCCAGGTCTGCAGTAGCAGGTCGTCCCAGACTGTGGCCCCGGGCCCCTGGGCACCACTGACAGAGCAGAGGCAACAGGAACCAGAAGAGCAGGGTCCACATGGTGTTCTGAAGGAGACAGACCAGAGACGGACATCATATATATATACACACAGATACACACACACACACACACACACACACACACACACACACACACACACACACACACACACACACAGATACACACACACACACACACACACACACACAGTATCAGCTCTAAGTGCCACATGACGGGCCCCTGATAAACAGGTGTCAGGACTGAGGCTGAGGGCCTCACACCTCAGACATGTTTACCAACATTACTCACTCTGCCCTGAATCTCTCTGGTCTCTCTCTGGTCTCTCTCTGGTCTCTTTCTGGTCTCTCTCTGGTGTCTCTCTTTTTGAGTGGAAAAAAGTTGTCAGGAAAATGCACTGGATAATTCTGTTTCCGGGTACACCCCCACCAGGGGGAGTGAGATTGCAGCATGTCAGAGCACGTGCTCATGGACCTTTTGACATGAACCCGCCCACACTGGGTGTGCCCCAGGGATCAATCTTAGGTCCAGTCCTTTTGATCATTTACCTTCTTCCTCTCTCTCTAGTCTCTCCCTGGTCTCTCTCCCTCAGAGGGAGACTAGAGAAAGACCTCTGGTCTCTCTCTATAGTATCCCTCTCTGGTCCCTCTCTGGTCACTTCATGGTCTTTCTCTAGTCTCTCTGGTCTCTCTCTAGTCTCCCTCTAGTCTCTCTGGTCTCTCTCTGGTCTCCCTCTGGTCTCTCTCTTCCTAGTCTCCCTCTGGTCTCTCTGGTCTCTCTCTGGTCTCCCTCTGGTCTCTCTGATGGTATGTCTCCCTCTGGTCTCTTTCTTCCTAGCCTCTCTCTGGTCTCCCTCTGGTCTCTCTCTGGTCTCCCTCTGGTCTCTCTCTGGTCTCTCTCTGGTCTCTCTCTGGTCTCTCTCTGGTCTCTCTCTGGTCTCCCTCTGGTCTCTCTCTGGTCTCTCTCTGGTCTCCCTCTGGTCTCTCTCTGGTCTCTCTCTGGTCTCTCTCTGGTCTCTCTCTGGTCTCCCTCTGGTCTCTCTCTGGTCGACCTTTGTTACAAACTCGAACCTTACTTAACTGTACATTGTGGATTACACACTTTCTTTGGTGCTGTAGCGTGGGCTAGCCTAGCCTGGGCTAGGCTAACCTGGGCTAGCCTAGCCATGGCTAGTCTCGCCTGGGCTAGCCTAGCCATGGCTAGTCTCGCCTGGGCTAGGCTAGCCTGGGCTGGTCCAGGTTAGACTAGCCTGGACTAGCCTAGCCGTTGCTGCTGCTGTCTCCTTTGTTCGGACACGGTCTCTACATTAAAGTAGTACTAGAATTTAATATGCTGCTATCCAGAATATATAACTACAATATGTGTTTATAATATTTCGGGGGTTCATTTTGACTTGTTCAGATGAATTATGTTTAAAAAAAACGGCTTTGAAGTGGAACCTTTTCACTTCCGCATAGAAACGCTAGGGGGCGCCAAAATGGCGGCGATGACGTAGGAGAATGACCTCTCACAGCAGCAGCAGCAGTCTGGGCTGAATCTGTAGGAGGTTTCACTGTCATCTGAACAAGGTATAAACATATTTACATCCGTTTTGTACATAATAGTGCGCAACTCTTTTAACCTTTTAGCCTTATTTGTGAGATTCAAGCTAATTAGTGTTGGGCAAGTTAGCTAACTCTACTTGATATCATAAAACATGCTAACAAGGCTAATATTCGTGTTTACATTATGCCAGTCTCTCTTTGCCTTAGATTTATTTACCACAATGTACATTGTAATATCCATAAATGCTAACACCTATTAGCATTTATGGTTTATTTATTTATTCATTTATGGTTCATTTATTTACGGTTTAATTAGCATTTTTATCAATGATTGCATCACATGTAGTCTATGTTTTCAACTTCTGCAGCTTTTTGTTCATAAAAGTAAAATATTTATTTAATTCAAGTTATTTTGATTAGCATTTATGGATATTACAATGTACATTGTGGTAAATAAATCTAAGGCAAAGTGAGACTGGCATAATGTAAAAATGAATATTAGCCTTGTTAGCATGTTTTATGATATCAAGTAGAGTTAGCTAACTTGCCCAACACTAGTTTGCTTGAATCTCACAAATAAGGCTAAAAGGTTAAAAGAGTTGCACACTATTATGTACAAAACTGATGTAAATATGTTTATACCTTGTTCAGATGACAGTGAAACCTCCTACAGATTCAGCCCAGACTGCTGCTGCTGCTGTGAGAGGTCATTCTCCTACGTCATCGCCGCCATTTTGGCGCCCCCTAGCGTTTGTGAAAAGGTCCGACTTCAAAGCTTTTTTTAACATAATTCATCTGAACATATCAAAATGAACACCCGAAATATTATAAACACATATTGTAGTTATTTATTCTGGATAGCAGCATATTAAATTCAAGTACTACTTTAAAGTCTTAAAACAGTCCTCTTTAGTTTAGCATATGGCTAGGAAGGTAAGACTCAGAGAAGGCTAAACCCCTCAGAGTGTCAGTCAAGCTGCATAGGGAGCCCCCTGCTGGAGAAGTATGGTAACTGCACTATCCTCTCCTCCTTCCTACTTTATCTGTTTAACATTATTAGGATTTTGACTGTAGTTTGTTCATTGCTATTCACCCGTTGTCCCATTGTCTGTTTCATGGTACGATGACGGGATCTCTGAGCCTGGCCTCCTCCATCTACACCTGCGGACTGCCCCGCACCATGTGGCCTTGGTACTGTAGCTTCAGGTCTCTCTCTCTGGTCTCTCTCTGGTCTCTCTCTGGACTATCTCTCTGGTCTCTCTCTGGTCTCTCTCTGGTCTCTCTCTCTGGTCTCTCTCTGGTCTCTCTCTCTGGTCTCTCTCTGGTCTCTCTCTGGTCTCTCTCTGGTCTCTCTCTGGTCTCTCTCTCTGGTCTCTCTCTGGTCTCTCTCTCTGGTCTCTCTCTGGTCTCTCTCTGGTCTCTCTCTGGTCTCTCTCTGGTCTCTCTCTGGTCTCTCTCTGGTCTCTCTCTCTGGTCTCTCTCTGGTCTCTCTCTGGTCTCTCTCTGGTCTCTCTCTGGTCTCTCTCTGGTCTCTCTCTCTGGTCTCTCTCTGGTCTCTCTCTGGTCTCTCTCTCTGGTCTCTCTCTGGTCTCTCTCTGGTCTCTCTCTCTGGTCTCTCTCTGGTCTCTCTCTCTGGTCTCTCTCTCTGGTCTCTCTCTGGTCTCTCTCTGGTCTCTCTGGTCTCTCTCTGGTCTCACTCTGGTCCTAGAGACGGCTGTTCATGTGATACAGACATAAATCGATGGAACTGTTTCATTGCAAATGTAAACTTTATTGAAACATTCAACGACAACAACAACAATAACAATAATAATAATAATAATAATAATAAATAAATAATAATTCACATATGAAACTTTAATAAATATTTAAATAAATATGAAAGGAGTTGTTTGGTCCGAGCATCTGCAGGTGAGGAGGGAGACTTCACACTGACCTGGGACCTGTGGGGGAGAGAGGAGAGGGTGAGGAGGGTGAGGGAGAAGAAGAGAGGGTGAGGACAGAGGAGAGGAGAGGGTGAGGACAGAGGAGAGGAGAGAGGGTGAGGAGGGTGAGGGAGGAGAAGAGAGGGTGAGGAGGGTGAGGGAGGAGAAGAGAGGGTGAGGACAGAGGAGAGGAGAGGGTGAGGGAGGAGAGGAGAGGGTGAGGGAGGGAGAGGAGGAGAGGAGAGAGGAGGAGAGGGTGAGGACAGTGGAGAGGAGAGGGTGAGGACGAGGAGAGGAGAGGGTGAGGGAGGAGAGGAGAGGGTGAGGAGGTGAGGGAGAAGAGAGAGAGGGTGAGGACAGAGGAGAGGAGAGGGTGAGGGAGGAGAGAGGAGAGGAGAGGGTGAGGGAGGAGAGAGAGAGAGGGTGAGGACAGTGGAGAGGAGAGGGTGAGGGAGGAGAGGAGAGGGTGAGGGAGGAGAGGAGAGGGTGAGAGAGGAGAGGGTGAGGACAGAGGAGAGGAGAGGAGAGGAGAGAGGAGAGGGTGAGGGAGGACAGAGGAGAGAGGAGAGGGTGAGGGAGGACAGAGGAGAGAGGAGAGGGTGAGAGAGAGAGGAGAGGGTGAGGGAGGAGAGAGGAGAGGGTGAGGGAGGAGAGGAGAGGGTGAGGACAGAGGAGAGGAAGGAGAGAGCAGCAGTATTAGCAGTATTAGCAGCAACAGTACCAGTAGCAATAGCAGTATTAGCAGTAGCATTAGCAGTAGTATTAGCAGTAGTATTAGCAGTAGCATTAGCAGTAGCATTAGCAGTAGCATTAGCAGTAGTATTAGCAGTAGCATTAGCAGTAGCATTAGCATTAGCATTAGCATTAGCATTAGCATTAGCAGTAGTATTAGCAGTAGCATTAGCATTAGCATTAGCATTAGCATTAGCAGTAGCCTTAGCATTAGCATTAGCAGTAGTCTCACTTGTGCGGGTCCCTGTGTTGCAGCCCAGGGAGCTGGAGGAGCCGATGCGGTCGAGGCGGCGGCCGAAGCAGCCGGACGAGCTGCTCTTGTTGTTCTTGACGGTTCTCAGGTCTTTGGAGAGGAGCTGTTTGAGCAGGAGTTCCTCCAGGTGCTCCGGGGGCCCCTCCTCCACTGGCCCCTCTTGTGCGCTCTGGGACCTGGGCACCTCCTCAGGCACGGGCCTCTGCTCCACCAGCTCCTCCAGTCGGTCCAGGAGATCCTACAAACCATGCGAGACGAACCAGATGTACTTTAGTCCAATTTAAAGATATAGAACAGATGTAACCATGTGGATGGAGCCTTTTCTACTGCTGCCTGTAACCACGGAAACCATGGGATCCTACTGAGACAGGCCCAATAAAGGCCTGTAAGAGCACATGGTACTAGACAATATGTTTAATGTGTGTGTGTTTTGTGTTGGTTTCTGGTCAAACTCTGCTCTCTCTCTCTGGTCTCTCTCTCTCTGGTCTCTCCGGTGCCTCCCTGGTCTCTCTCTCTCTCTGGTCTCTCCGGTGCCTCCCTGGTCTCTCTCTCTCCCTGGTCTCTCTCTCTCTCTGGTCTCTCCGGTGCCTCCCTGGTCTCTCTCTCTCCCTGGTCTCTCTCTCTCTCTGGTCTCTCCGGTGCCTCCCTGGTCTCTCTCTCTCTCTGGTCTCTCTGGTGCCTCCCTGGTCTCTCTCTCTCCCTGGTCTCTCTCTCTCTCTGGTCTCTCCGGTGCCTCCCTGGTCTCTCTCTCTCTCTGGTCTCTCTGGTGCCTCCCTGGTCTCTCTCTCTCCCTGGTCTCTCTCTCTCTCTGGTCTCTCCGGTGCCTCCCTGGTCTCTCTCTCTCTCTGGTCTCTCTGGTGCCTCCCTGGTCTCTCTCTCTCTCTGGTCTCTCCGGTGCCTCCCTGGTCTCTCTCTCTCCCTGGTCTCTCTCTCTCTCTGGTCTCTCCGGTGCCTCCCTGGTCTCTCTCTCTCCCTGGTCTCTCTCTCTCTCTGGTCCCTCTCTCCGGTGCCTCCCTGGTCTCTCTCTCTCCCTGGTCTCTCTCTCTCTCTGGTCTCTCCGGTGCCTCCCTGGTCTCTCTCTCTCTCTGGTCTCTCCGGTGCCTCCCTGGTCTCTCTCTCTCCCTGGTCTCTCTCTCTCTCTGGTCTCTCCGGTGCCTCCCTGGTCTCTCTCTCTCTGGTCTCTCCGGTGCCTCCCTGGTCTCTCTCTCTCTGGTCTCTCCGGTGCCTCCCTGGTCTCTCTCTCTCTCTGGTCTCTCTCTCTCTCTGGTCTCTCCGGTGCCTCCCTGGTCTCTCTCTCTCTGGTCTCTCCGGTGCCTCCCTGGTCTCTCTCTCTCTGGTCTCTCCGGTGCCTCCCTGGTCTCTCTCTCTCTGGTCTCTCCGGTGCCTCCCTGGTCTCTCTCTCTCTCTGGTCTCTCTCTCTCTCTGGTCTCTCCGGTGCCTCTCTGGTCTCTCTCTCTCTCTGGTGCCTCCCTGGTCTCTCTCTCTCTGGTCTCCCTCTGGTCCCTCAGCTTAAAGAAGACATGCCATGAACGTTTGTGAAACTCAGATGGTGCATATTGTCCTGTCTGTCTGAGGTCAGAGGTCGGACTCACCTGGATCTCCATCAGAGGCTGAGGTCTCGTTCCGGTCTCGCTGATGGGGAAGGCACAGACCAGTTGTACCATAAGAAGCGCGCTCACACACAGCCTGGTTCCACTCATGGTTCTAGTTCCTTCTCTGTCTGTGACTTTGGTCTCGGCTCTTATGGTCTCCTCTCTCTTTGGCCTGTGACGGTCTCGGCTCTTATGGTCTCCTCTCTCTTTGGCCTGTGACGGTCTCGGCTCTTATGGTCTCCTCTCTCTTTGGCCTGTGACGGTCTCGGCTCTTATGGTCTCCTCTCTCTTTGGCCTGTGATGGTCTCGGCTCTTATGGTCTCCTCTCTCTTTGGCCTGTGACGGTCTCAGCTCTTATGGTCTCCTCTCTCTTTGGCCTGTGATGGTCTCGGCTCTTATGGTCTCCTCTCTCTTTGGCCTGTGACGGTCTCGGCTCTTATGGTCTCCTCTCTCTTTGGCCTGTGACGGTCTCGGCTCTTATAGATGCCGCGGGGGCCGGATGTGTCGGAAGTGCAGCCACATTCCTGACACCTGCAGCCGATAGCGTGGAATGTGCTCCTTGTACAGTGTGACAGTGTGGAATGTGTTCCTCGTACAGTGTGACAGTGTGGGACTCGGGGGCTTCCTCCTCGTGTTCGGGAATCTGACGACACACATTTTTGTGCCATTACCACAGACAGGGAAATGTAGAGGTTATCAGACCAGAGAGAGACCAGAGAGGGACCAGAGAGAGACCAGAGAGGGACCAGAGAGAGACCAGAGAGAGACCAGAGAGGGACCAGAGAGAGACCAGAGAGAGACCAGAGAGGGACCAGAGAGAGACCAGAGAGAGACCAGAGAGAGACCAGAGAGGGACCAGAGAGGGACCAGAGAGGGACCAGAGAGGGACCAGAGAGAGACCAGAGAGGGACCAGAGAGAGACCAGAGAGGGACCAGAGAGGGACCAGAGAGAGACCAGAGAGGGACCAGAGAGAGACCAGAGAGAGACCAGAGAGGGACCAGAGAGAGACCAGAGAGAGACCAGAGAGAGACCAGAGAGGGACCAGAGAGGGACCAGAGAGGGGACCAGAGAGGGACCAGAGAGAGACCAGAGAGGGACCAGAGAGAGACCAGAGAGAGACCAGAGAGGGACCAGAGAGAGACCAGAGAGAGACCAGAGAGGGACCAGAGAGGGACCAGAGAGAGACCAGAGAAAGACCAGAGAGGGACCAGAGAGAGACCAGAGAGGGACCAGAGAGGGACCAGAGAGAGACCAGAGAGAGACCAGAGAGGGACCAGAGAGAGACCAGAGAGAGACCAGAGAGAGACCAGAGAGGGACCAGAGAGACCAGAGAGAGACCAGAGAGAGACCAGAGAGAGACCAGAGAGAGACCAGAGAGAGACCAGAGAGAGACCAGAGAGAGACCAGAGAGGGACCAGAGAGAGACCAGAGAGAGACCAGAGAGAGACCAGAGAGGGACCAGAGAGGGACCAGAGAGAGACCAGAGAAAGACCAGAGAGGGACCAGAGAGAGACCAGAGAGGGACCAGAGAGGGACCAGAGAGAGACCAGAGAGAGACCAGAGAGGGACCAGAGAGAGACCAGAGAGAGACCAGAGAGGGACCAGAGAGACCAGAGAGAGACCAGAGAGAGACCAGAGAGAGACCAGAGAGGGACCAGAGAGAGACCAGAGGGAGACCAGAGGGAGACCAGAGGGAGACCAGAGGGAGACCAGAGGGAGACCAGAGGGCATAGGTGTCAAAGTCAAGGCCCGGGGGCCAGATCCGGCCCACAAAGAAATTATCTTGGCCCCTGGGATGATATTTGATTATATTAGAACCGGCCGCACAGAGCCATAAGAACATTAGATTATTAATTTAATGTTAAGGACATTTTCTCTTTGAAGGAAGTTTGTTTTTAATAAAATAAGGTACAGTGTGTTAGGTCTAGGTTCAATTATGTGCAATCTTCATTTGTTTTAATAAACGTTGAACCAGTCCGGCCCTCGGCTTGTAGAATTTATTTGTGTTGGCCCTCTGATGTATTTGACTTTGATATCTCTGCCATAGAGAGACCAGAAAGACCAGAGAGACCAGAGAGACCAGAGAGACCATGGAGAGACCAGAGAGACCAAAAAGACCAGAGAGAGACTAGAGAGAGAGACCAGAAAGGGACTGGAGAGACCATGGTGAGACCAGAGAGAGACCGGAGAGACCAGAGAGAGAGACCATGGAGAGACCATGGAGAGACCAGAGAGAGACCAGATGTGTTGTCTTTGTCTCCGCTCAGAGACAATTACATGTTTTTGATCTGACCCTCAGCTCCTGTGTTTCCTCTCCCTCACCCCCTCACCCTCTCACCCTCTCCCCCGGGGGGAGATCGTCCCTCTCTGACATCATTCCTCTGCTGTGTCACTTTTATCATGTTTTTACAGGATGTGAGAAGTTCTGAATCAGCACAGACACATTAAAGCTTTAGTCTCATAAACAACACGTCACAACACCAGAGAGAGACCAGAGAGAGACCAGAGAGAGACCAGAGAGAGACCAGAGAGAGACCAGAGAGAGACCAGAGAGAGACCAGAGAGAGACCAGAGAGAGACCAGAAAGAGACCAGAGAGAGACCAGAGAGAGACCAGAGAGAGACCAGAAAGAGACCAGAGAGAGACCAGAGAGAGACCAGAGAGAGAGACCAGAGAGAGACCAGAGAGAGACCAGAGAGAGGCCAGAGAGAGAGACCAGAGAGAGACCAGAGAGAGACCAGAGAGAGACCAGAGAGAGACCAGAGAGAGACCAGAGAGAGACCAGAGAGAGACCAGAAAGAGACCAGAGAGAAACCAGAGAGAGACCAGAGAGGGACCAGAGAAAGACCAGAGAGAGACCAGAGAGAGACCAGGAAGAGAGGAGCGAGGCCAGAGAGAGAGACCAGAGAGAGACCAGAGAGAAGCCAGAGAGAGAGACCAGAGAGAGACCAGAGAGAGACCAGAGAGAGACCAGAGAGAGACCAGAAAGAGACCAGAGAGAAACCAGAGAGAGACCAGAGAGGGACCAGAGAAAGACCAGAGAGAGACCAGAGAGAGACCAGAGAGAGAGACCAGAGAGAGAGACCAGAGAGAGACCAGAGAGAGGCCAGAGAGAGAGACCAGAGAGAGACCAGAGAGAGACCAGAGAGAGAGACCAGAGAGAGACCAGAGAGAGGCCAGAGAGAGAGACCAGAGAGAGAGACCAGAGAGAGACCAGAGAGAGGCCAGAGAGAGAGACCAGAGAGAGACCAGAGAGAGACCAGAGAGAGACCAGAGAGAGAGACCAGAGAGAGAGACCAGAGAGAGAGACCAGAGAGAGAGACCAGAGAGAGACCAGAGAGAGACTGTTATACTTCAGTCCTTCATGTTCTGAAATAAAAGTTTTCTGTCATTGACCAGAACAAGACGAATTATGCAAAATTATTTTACTTCAGACACATTTATACAAACAGAATAAATAAACACAAGACATTATTTAATCATAGAAGGTCTGAGGGCTGAGACCAGAGAGAGACCAGAGAGAGAGACCAGAGAGAGAGACCAGAGAGAGAACCCCACTCCTCCCCCTCCTCCCCCTCCTCCCCCTTCTCCCCCTCAGCAGCCCAGTCCACTGAATGATCCGATCCGTTCCAGTCGGACCCCGAAGCAGCTCCTGAGGGCCCCCTTCTTGTAGCGGCTCCAGGAGCGTTTGGACGTCTGCACCAGGTCTGAGAGCAGCCGGGACAGAGCGCCGTCTGTGTCCTCTGTCCCGTTAGAACTGTCCTCCTCCCTCCAGGGGCCCTCCTCCCTCCTGGGGCCCTCCTCCCTCCACGGGCCCTCCTTCCTCCAGGGGCCCTCCTTCTTCCAGGGGCCCTCCTTCCTCCAGGGGCCCTCCTTCCTCCAGGGGCCCTCCTTCTTCCAGGGGCCCTCCTTCCTCCAGGGGCCCTCCTGTGGGTTCCCGAACAAAGCCTTGAGTGAGTTTGTGTCTGATGCAGGCTCTTCCAGAGAGAGAAGCTCGTTCTGCAGCCGCTGCTCCACACTCTGCAACACAGATATCAGACTCAGGTGAATATGTACCAGACTCTGGACTATAAGGAGCACCTCTCTGGACTATAAGGAGCACCTCTCTGGACTATAAGGAGAACCTCTCTGGACTATAAGGAGCACCTCTCTGGACTATAAGGAGCACCTCTCTAGACTATAAGGAGCACCTCTCTGGACTATAAGGAGCACCTCTCTGGACTATAAGGAGCACCTCTCTAGACCAGTGTCTCCCAAAGTGGGGTCCGCGGCCCCCTGGTGGGCCGCGAGGGTACTGCAGGGGGGCCGCGGGAGGTCATAAAAAAAAAAAAAAAAATTTAATGTTAAATTTATAATCTTTTGTTTGTAATATTGAAATATTTGTGTTCATTATTTGACTTGAATAATCCACTGTAATCATTTTTGTATTACAATGTTTGTAGCAGAGGCTATTTCCCCAAAATAAAATAACCAGACGAGCCTATTCTTAATGTTGTCTTCTTGGTTATTATTTTGGGGGGCCACGCAGACCCGTCAGATTTTTAAGGGGGCCTCGGTGTTACTGAGTTTGGGAATGGCTGCTCTAGACTATAAGGAGCACCTCTCTGGACTATAAGGAGCACCTCTCTAGACTATAAGGAGCACCTCTCTGGACTATAAGGAGCACCTCTCTGGACTATAAGAAGCACCTCTCTGGACTATAAGGAGCACCTCTCTAGACTATAAGGAGCACCTCTCTGGACTATAAGGAGCACCTCTCTGGACTATAAGGAGCACCTCTCTAGACTATAAGGAGCACCTCTCTGGACTATAAGGAGCACCTCTCTAGACTATAAGGAGCACCTCTCTGGACTATAAGGAGCACCTCTCTGGACTATAAGAAGCACCTCTCTGGACTATAAGGAGCACCTCTCTGGACTCTCCTAAAACCTTTGAAGAGCTTCCAGCTCGTTCAGAATACAGCAGCAAGGATCTGAACAGGCACCAAAAGGAGGGAGCACATAACTCCGGTGTTAAAATCACTCCACTGGCTTCTGTGGAGTACAGAATAAAGTTTAAAATCCTTCTTTTAACAAACAAAGCCATAAATGGCTCCTAATCTTCAAGATATGTTATTGTCATATCAACCAAACCAAGCAATGCGCTCGCAAAACTGCTGACCCTGCTGGGTCCTAAAGAGTCAGAACACCAGAGTCTGCTGGGTCCTAAAGAGTCAGAACACCAGAGTCTGCTGGGTCCTAAAGAGTCAGAACACCAGAGTCTGCTGGGTCCAAAAGAGTCAGAACACCAGAGTCTGCTGGGTCCTAAAGAGTCAGAACACCAGAGTCTGCTGGGTCCTAAAGAGTCAGAACACCAGAGTCTGCTGGGTCCTAAAGAGTCAGAACACCAGAGTCTGCTGGGTCCTAAAGAGTCAGAACACCAGCGTCTGCTGGGTCCCAAAGAGTCAGAACACCAGAGTCTGCTGGGTCCTAAAGAGTCAGAACACCAGAGTCTGCTGGGTCCTAAAGAGTCAGAAACACCAGAGTCTGCTGGGTCCTAAAGAGTCAGAACACCAGAGTCTGCTGGGTCCTAAAGAGTCAGAACACCAGAGTCTGCTGGGTCCTAAAGAGTCAGAACACCAGAGTCTGCTGGGTCCTAAAGAGTCAGAACACCAGAGTCTGCTGGGTCCTAAAGAGTCAGAACACCAGAGTCTGCTGGGTCCTAAAGAGTCAGAACACCAGAGTCTGCTGGGTCCTAAAGAGTCAGAACACCAGAGTCTGCTGGGTCCTAAAGAGTCAGAACACCAGAGTCTGCTGGGTCCTAAAGAGTCAGAACACCAGAGTCTGCTGGGTCCTAAAGAGTCAAAAAGCTGTCGGCAGAACATCCATCCATCCATTTTCTTCCATTTTCTTCAGCTGAGAGACATAGTCCCTCCAGCGTGTCCTAGGTCTTCCCCGGGGCCTCCTCCCGGTGGGACATGCCCGGAACACCTCCCCAGGGGGCGTCCAGGAGGCATCCGGAACAGATGCCCGAGCCACCTCAACTGGTTCCTCTCGACGTGCAGAAGCAGCGGCTCTACCCCGAGCTCCTCCCGTGTGACCGAGCTCCTCACCCTATCTCTAAGGGAGCGCCCAGCCACTCTGCGGAGGAAGCTCATTTCGACGCTTGTATCCGCGATCTCGTTCTTTCGGTCATTAACCTGGTTCGTTGGCGCCAACAGGACAACATCGTCTGCAAACAGCAGAGATAAAATCCTGTGGTCCCCGAACCGGACCCCCTCCGACCCCTGGCTGCGCCTAGAAATTCTATCCATGAATACAGTGAACAGAACCGGTGACAAAGGGCAGCCCTGTCGGAGGCCAACATGCACCGGGAACAGGTCTGACTTACTGCCGGCAATGCGAACACAGCTCTGGCTCCGGTCATACAGGGACCGGACGGCCCTCAGCAGATCAGGCACCTTCATCGAGAGGAACCAGTTGAGGTGGCCTGGGCATCTGTTCAGGATGCCTTCTGGACGCCTCCCTGGGGAGGTGTTCCGGGCACGTCCCACCGGGAGGAGGCCCCGGGGAAGACCCAGGACACAGAGGGACTATGTCTCTCAGCTGGCCTGGGAACGCCTTGGGGCTGGAGACGAGCTGGAGGAAGTGTGTGTGGATAGGGAAGTCTGGGCGTCTCTGCTTAGACTGCTGCCCCCGCGACCAGGCAACGGATGAAGCGGAAGAAAAGGGCTGAATGGATGGCATTTTTGTAGTAGGTAGATCATTTTGACTTGATCATTTTATAAGTAGCTCGCATGCTGAAAAAGTGTGAGCACCCCTGTTATGGATATGGGTTCAGTATATACAGTGCCTTGCGAAAGTATTCGGCTCCTTGAACCTTTCAACATTTCGCCACATTTCAGGCTTCAAACATAAAGATATAAAAAAATTATTTTTTGTCATGAATCAACAAGTGGGACACAATCGTGAAGTGGAACGAAATTTATTGGATAATTTAAACTTTTTTAACAAATAAAAAACTGAAAAGTGGGGCGTGCAATATTATTCGGCCCCTTTACTTTCAGTGCAGCAAACTCAGTCCAGAAGTTCAGTGAGGATCTTTGAATGATCCAATGTTGTCCTAAATGACTGATGATAGAATAGAATGCACCTGTGTGTAATCAAGTCTCCGTATAAATGCACCTGCTCTTTGATAGTCTCAGGGTTCTGTTTAAAGCGCAGAGAGAACCATGAAGACAAAGGAACACACCAGGCAGGTCCGAGATACTGTTGTGGAGAAGTTCAAAGCCGGATTTGGATACAAAAAGATTTCCCAAGCTTTAAACATCTCAAGGAGCACTGTGCAAGCAATTATATTGAAATGGAAGGAGTATCAGACCACTGCAAATCTACCAAGACCCGGCCGTCCCTCCAAACTTTCATCTCAAACAAGGAGAAGACTGATCAGAGATGCAGCCAAGAGGCCCATGATCACTCTGGATGAACTGCAGATAACTACAGCTGAGGTGGGAGAGTCTGTCCATAGGACAACAATCAGTCGTGCACTGCACAAATCTGGCCTTTATGGAAGAGTGGCAAGAAGAAAGCCATTTCTCAAAGATATCCATAAAAAGTCTCGTTTAAAGTTTGCCACAAGCCACCTGGGAGACACACCAAACATGTGGAAGAAGGTGCTCTGGTCAGATGAAACCAAAATCAAACTTTTTGGCCACAATGCAAAACGATATGTTTGGCGTAAAAGCAACACAGCTCATCGCCCTGAACACACCATCCCCACTGTCAAACATGGTGGGGGCAGCATCATGCTTTGGGCCTGCTTTTCTTCAGCAGGGACAGGGAAGATGGCTACAATTGATGGGAAGATGGATGGAGCCAAATACAGGACCATTCTGGAAGAAAACCTGTTGGAGTCTGCAAAAGACCTGAGACTGGGACGGAGATTTATCTTCCAACAGGACAATGATCCAAAACATAAAGCCAAATCTACAATGGAATGGTTCACAAATAGACGTATCCAGGTGTTAGAATGGCCAAGTCAAAGTCCAGACCTGAATCCAATCGAGAATCTGTGGAAAGAGCTGAAGACTGCTGTTCACAAACGCTCTCCATCCAACCTCACTGAGCTCCAGCTGTTTTACAAGGAAGAATGGGAAAGAATTCCAGTCTCTTGATGTGCAAAACTGATAGAGACATACCCCAAGTGACTTGCAGCTGTAATTGCAGCAAAAGGTGGCGCTACAAAGTATTAGCGCAAGGGGCCGAATAATATTGCACGCCCCACTTTTCAGTTTATTTGTTAAAAAAGTTTAAATTATCCAATAAATGTTGTTCCACTTCACGATTGTGTCCCACTTGTTGTTGATTCTTGACAAAAAAATACATTTTTATATCTTCATGTTTGAAGCCTGAAATGTGGCAAAATGTTGAAAGGTTCAAGGGGGCCGAATACTTTCGCAAGGCACTGTAAATGATTGACAGCCCTTGGCATGACTCGATTGGTTAACGTGGACAGCATCGTGGATTCTGAGCTATAGCTGAGAGAAGGGAAGGCGGGACTTACCTGTAACATTAGGAGGCCAGGAGGTCAATTTAATACAATTCTTAAAATGTGTTTTCATTTAGAGTTCTGTCACTTTAAAAACAGGAGATGAGCGTTTAAATTCTGAGTTCTAGAGAATTTTGTGTGAAAATGCATTATTTTTCTAAACTTCTGTTTAGAAGAAACCTTTTGCTTTGTGTTTTTGTCTCTTTTGTCGTCTTCTTGGGCTATAATAAATAAAAAATACATGTTTATTTATGTCGCGCACTTGGCAGAGGTCACACAAAGCACAAGAGACAATATTTTTGATTCTCTCTTTTTGTCAGCCTCAATCGTCACCTTCACTACATTCAGAAATATGTGATGTGTGGAAACTGGAGCACCTGGAGGAAACCTACGCAGACACGGGGAGAACATGAAAACTCAACACAGAAAGGTCAGAGATAGAGACCAGAGAGAGACCAGAGAGAGACCAGAGAGAGACCAGAGAGAGACCAGAGAGAGAGACCAGAGAGAGACCAGAGAGAGACCAGAGAGAGACCAGAGAGAGACCAGAGAGAGAGACCAGAGAGAGACCAGAGATAGAGACCAGAGAGAGACCAGCAAGAGACCAGCAAGAGACCAGAGAGAGAGAGCAGAGAGAGACCAGCAAGAGACCAGCAAGAGACCAGAGAGAGAGAGCAGAGAGAGACCAGAGAGAGACCAGAGAGAGAGACCAGCAAGAGACCAGAGAGAGACCAGAGAGAGAGACCAGCAAGAGACCAGAGAGAGACCAGAGAGAGACCAGCAAGAGACCAGAGAGAGATCAGAGAGAGACCGTTTTTAATATTGCAGTGAATAATAAAAGTCGAACCTGTGTCTGAGGTCGGCTGCAGACGGGAGCAAGATACAGCAGGAGCAGAGAGAGGGACAGCAGAGGCAGCAGGGGGTCCATGCTGGGTGGTCCGGGTCTGGGTCCGGGTCTGGGTCGGCTCTTGGTCTTGCTCTGGCTCCTGGTCTTGGCTCCTGGTCTGTGTGGAGCAGGAGAACACAGGTGCAGCCTTTATACCTCTCTTTCCTGACGTCACACAGAGGTAACGGTCTGTGACGGTGACTCCCACACAGACCAGAGACCAGAGAGACCAGAGAGACCAGAGAGACCAGAGAGAGACCAGAGAGACCAGAGAGAGACCAGAGAGAGACCAGAGAGAGACCAGAGAGAGACCAGAGAGACCAGAGAGACCAGAGAGACCAGAGAGAGACCAGAGAGACCAGAGAGACCAGAGAGAGACCAGAGAGAGACCAGAGAGACCAGAGAGACCAGAGAGACCAGAGAGACCAGAAAGACCAGAGAGACCAGAGAGACCAGAGAGACCAGAAAGACCAGAGAGACCAGAGAGACCAGAGAGACCAGAGAGACCAGAGAGAGACCAGAGAGAGACCAGAGAGAGAGACCAGAGAGGAGACCAGAGAGAGACCAGAGAGAGACCAGAGAGAGACCAGAGAGAGAGACCAGAGAGAGACCAGAGAGAGACCAGAGAGAGACCAGAGAGAGACCAGAGAGAGACCAGAGAGACCAGAGAGAGACCAGAGAGAGACCAGAGAGAGACCAGAGAGAGACCAGAGAGAGACCAGAGAGAGACCAGAGAGAGACCAGAGAGAGACCAGAGAGAGACCAGAGAGAGACCAGAGAGAGACCAGAGAGAGAGAACAGAGACAGAGCCAACAGGTGAAGTTGCTATTATCATGACTGCTGCTACTTCAATTGTTCCTACTTCTGCTGCTGCTCCTGCTGGTCTCCTGATGTTTCTAGTCTCCGACTGGTCTCCTGCTCCTGCTGGTCTCCTGTCTCTAGTCTCCTGCTGGTCTCCTGATGTCTCTAGTCTCCTGCTGGTCTCCTGATGTCTCCTGCTGGTCTCCTGATGTCTCTAGTCTCCTGCTCGTCTCCTGATGTCTCCTGCTGGTCTCCTGCCCCTGTTGGTCTCCTGATGTCTCCTGCTGGTCTCTGGTTTCCTAATGTCCCTGATGTCTCTGGTCTCCTGCTGGTCTCTGGTCTCCTGCTGGTCTCCTGATATAGAAGTGTAATAATGTGTAATCATTATTCTGTCAGATGAAACACTCTGAGGTGATGGTCGTCTCCTGCTCCGGGGGGTCCGGGTTAAGTGAGCGATTACCCTGTGACCGCGGGGGAGGATGGGGGAGGGGGGGGGGGATACAATACAATACAATACAATACAATTT